AGGTCAGCTGGAGTGTCAGAGGAGGTGGCAGCAGATGAAGAACCCAGAGCTGGTCAAAGGTCCCTGGACTCAGGGAGGACGAGAGGGTGACACACCGCACACTCACAAACTCTACTGCTACAGTATACTACATTATACTGTCTGTCTGCTCTTCATGAAGAACACCTGTGTTCCCTTCTACAACCAAAATAAATCAGAACTGTTTTTCCTCCATTAAATTAGCAAAAATGAATCTAAGAGAAGTTAATAGTTAGCTTTAGCTACAGCTGACCGCTTCCAAATGGTGTGAGAGCATGAACAGTACAGCGTTTCCTAACAGCACGGGACATGAGTGAGCGTCAGCGACAAAATCAGCTTGATTCTACTGTTTCCTACGGTAGACGGCACTACGTCTCTGCTCCGTTTCATATACGCAGCGAGTCTATTTTTGCGGAGTACGCTGCAGGCACGCGTCAAGCTGGACAGAATATGACAGCCCGGACAGGAAGTCAGACAAGGAAACGCACAGAGCATCCGGTCAATTTCAAAAATAAAACACAATATACGGACTCGCGATCATATTTTTCATACTTTATCAACATGACGTCAAAACAGGAACCGAATGAACAACAATGCATCCTCAGAAAGACAAAGCAACATGTTTGCGTGTTTTTGTCTTTATTCCCGCGGGATCTTGTAGTTCTCCTGTGATGTGTCATGGATGCGCTCCGCTGCGCTGACGTCCCCGAAACTGATCCAGTGTGAATGGGCGCGAGCCATCTGACGGAGCAAAACCACAGCGCTGACGGACCGCGGCGCTGACGGACCCGGCGCTGACGGACCGCGGCGCACACAGAGTATTGGGTGAGGATGAAACCTCCCACTGTAAATGTTACAGACCTGATGGATGCTACTTACTACACTACTACCACCTATAACAAGCTTATAAAGGTTACTTTCTAACACTTCTAAATGTGTCACTTTAGTATTTGAATGAGGACTCGTTGGTTGATCAAACAGAATAGTGTACTGATGTGTCCTGTACAGACTTGTTATATAACATTGTGATGTCACTTCCTGTGCAGCTCATTGATCTGGTGCAGAAGTACGGCATGAAGCGCTGGTCGCTGATCGCCAAACACCTGCACAGTCGGAACGGGAAGCAGTGCCGGGAGCGCTGGCACAACCACCTGAACCCGGTGGTGAAGAAGAGCAGCGACCCTGGAGGAGGACCGTGTCATCTGTGAGGCGCACAGACTGCTGGGAAACCGCTGGGCCGACATCCAAGCTGCTGCCCGGCAGGTAAGCAGAGCACCAGGTGTGAGTCTGAGCAGGTAGACTGTGCAGGACCTGAAGCAGATGTTTGTTTTCAGGACAGATAACTCCATCAAGAACCACTGGAACTCCACCCTGAAGAGGAAGGTGGAGAGGGAGGGATACCTGCAGGTCCTACACCTCTACAGCTCCTCTAACTCCTCCTCCTCCGTCAGACCGTCACCCAGCATGGTCGACATGTCCACAAGGTCACAAACCTCCACCCATCATCCTCCACCCGTACCTGCTAACTGAGATAACGCTGTGGTTTTCCTCCAGCAGGCAGACAGTCTGTGCACTGTGAAGGACGAGTCCAGCTGCACCTCCAGCGATCAGAGTGTGTGCCGTCTCCATAGCAACCTGGCCCACCTGTGCTCCCTCTGT